ATATATATGACCTTTCTTATGATGGCCACATCTTTAATCTGATAGAAAGCCAAAATTTAATTTGTAGGAGAAGAATTAAATAATCAAGTAAAGCAAGCAAGCGACAGCTATATTTTTATCTTGCCAAGTTCGATAAGATCATTGCTCTTGCCTGATATCTGTCCACCTAGTATTCATCTCCCTCCTCGCCTATTCAAACAGAAAACAAGATTGGCAACTCGAACAAAGAACTACAATCTTTGCTCTATGACTACTTCTAACATGACACACAAGTGACAAGAGCCAATACGTTGCACGCACGTATGCAGCTTATGCAACATCTTTGTGCTTGCACAATTCATGGCACATTCTCTCCTCTGCTATACGAGCACAGAGAATGCTCTCGCACACTGAAGCAGCGCTTTCGCTTTTTGTGCGTCAGTAATTGCAAGAATTGCTATGAAGACACCGCCAATACAACTTTCACAAGCAACAAATACAGTGGCATAATTCATTAAATGAAGGGACAAGGGCAAAGTGAAACCTAATTGTATTTGCTGTAAGCTCTTCCCTATCCACACTTGCAACCAAACTGCACACTAATACAACAAAAGCAGAGAATGTCATGCCTCATCGCACTTTATACATATATAATGCATTAAGACATAACATTTTCAGTATTTCAAGGAATACTGCAGAACCTCGAAGCGAATATAGTGACCAGTCCAAACAAGTTTATCAACGACGTATATAGTGGTAGAAAATGCAGGAAAGAATGAGGTAACTACAGCCTCTTGTAATACTTTGAAAATAATACCAATTAGTAGCTGCTAGGTACAAATACACATATCTTAGTGTTAGGAGACAAGAATCCCCAAATTTGCTTTTACCTACTCTAGTCACGCTAATGATATTAACCGCTAGTTCTGTATAACAAATATCTGATATGAGCTACCTTCTATGCTTGTAGACTGCTTTGGTCATTTAGACTTATATACTTCAAAACTGATTTAAACCAAACAGAAATCTTACCATATCATTTGCTTTCAAAAAACAGATACAAACCCACATGCACAATCCATAATGACATGAAAACAATTCAGCTCAAGACCTAATACTACTTACTGTACAGAAAAAGTTTGATACCAGCATTAACTGCATTTAAAAAGACATATAATCATAGTGTTCTAGCATTTTTCTCACATCATCAACTACTAGTAGTGTAAAGACTAGTCACAACTTCATTCTTCCGCTGCATCATGGCCACTTAGCCTTCAAACACATATGCCAACCAAATGAGACACCTTACTGCTGAAGGGCCAAACGTAATAATTACTCATATCCAATTTATATACGGAACACCAAAAAATTATTCCTCTTTTTATTCAAATTTATAAGATGCTTACTTTTTAAAATTATATAATGAAATTCTAAGAAAAATTCAGAAGAATTTTACGTGGAAAAAAATGACGAGACTCGTTCATCCGAGAGATTGTCCGGTAGACCAATCACGTGGACATGTCGACTCTCTCGGCTCATATCCTGCTCTGTTGCAAGTTTAAAGTTGCTTGTAGAGGTAATAGTGATAGATATTGTTGCTACTGCTGCTACAGGTGGTGCTGTCGCACAATTATTACTAGGATAGGTAGCAAAAGCGTTGCCTGTAAAACTGGCTACTGTTCCAGTAGAATGTTGAATACTGCAACCAATATTGTCAAACAGATGTGTCAGCTGTGATGCTGCCGAAATAAGATCTGGTGTGTAGCAATTTAGTACCCACTTGGAACTGTGATGAAGAAGCTGATGTGGCTGCTGTTTGAACCAAACTGCGCAAGGGGCTTTTGCAACCAACAGACTGATATTGCTAGCTTCACTCTTTGCTTGCTGCTCCTCCTGGTTTTCGTTTTCCTCTTTACTGATAACTTTTTCCGCTTCTGATGAACTACTCCTTTTGCTAATAACTGACTTAACTCTATTATTACAAGTACCGCTGCTGCTGTTGCTATTTCCGCCAACGTTAACACTAAGCACTCGGACGCTGATAACCATTCCATGGAAGAGTCGGCAATACGGAGTGCGCAACTGTTGACTGTTCCGCTGGTTGCCAATAAATTATTGCAGAGAGTATAGAGGTGACACAACTAGATATAACCTAATATTTTTGTAACAATAATGATTAATCAATGAAAATGAGTCAGATTTTTATTAGAGTTCCTCCCTTTAATTTTCTTCCCGTTCAATCGTAACTTTTTCGCTTCTTCCCTTCCTTAAATACTTCGTTACGTGAATCCAAATCTTTCTGCTGATTGCAAATTAATAGATTGCATAAGATGGGATGATCCCTCATCCGTTCTCTTCCAAATGTGAAAAGCTCCTTGAGTTTATTTTTGTCACACTTGTCCTGCAAAACAATGAGTGAATGAATATAATTTAGAGATTTAATCAAAAAAGCGAATTCATAAAAGCGTAGGTAGTCATTATGCTCACTTTAAGAACATATCTGATGGTCATAAAATATCCAAGACAAAGCATTTCAGCTGTGAAGCAACGAAAATAGGTGAATTATGCAACCGGTTTATATATACATTAAATATTTCAGCTTTTCTGCAAAAATGAAATCCTGAAATTTTGTCGATCAAAGATGGAAGATTCAAACTACAATCAGCAACTGATACAGATTGCAGGCACAAAGTAAATGTGAGGTAATGAAGAAGGATACAAATCATAAAATACTGTGGGACAGATATTAAATCGCAGATGAATATATATTCATTTTCCCGAGCACTCCCACTTTTCTAATACACTGACAATAGTAAATTAATCATCCAAGATCTCATTCGCTAATATCAATGCAGAAATCCTGATATGACACCTGCGCACGGATGGAGTTTGTCACTTTGATGGTTTCTCATACGCAAAACTTGACATGGGTTGTTCAACTCCACATCCCACTCATGCCATGTTCCAAATATCGACAATTTTTTACCACAGAACGATGGCACAAAAAAAATTAACTCTATGCAAAAAAATGGAATTTGAGGACTAAATAGAGTTGAACAACTCAGCGCAATATGGTTACACCTAAACTTAAATTAGTCTGTCCCACTTATGTCTTCCTCCAAAGCTGCCAGATCAGATCTTCATATTCTTCTCATCTTTTCGTCCTTAGTCATTCGCATTCCAATCACACTTCTCGGCAAATACATTTCTTTCTTGGAAACTCTGTAATAATTTCGAGGAATAGTTCCCAACAGGCTACTAGAGTAGAAATACTCCGGTCTCTAAACTTTATTTCTGAAGACGTGACTTCCAAAATCACAAGTTTCCATTGTTCGCCTGTTCACGGCATCAACGTGGAAAACTGATTTGACTCACACGTACGAAACATATGAACAAGAAGTTGCCACGAAAGTTCTAGTGTAATTACTTCTTAATCCCTTCCGAACAATCTGAAATTTCTCGTTTAAAAGATAGTATTAATGCTCTGTTTTGACATACTTCCTAGCACCTAACTTGATTTGAACAAAGTTAGGAAAATGATGAACTTTAAGATCTCCACACACCAGGAATAGTGGCATTTTGCATCCATATATCAGATTTACTTTGATGAGTAAATCCCACTGGATACTCTTAAGTACCCAATACATTAACTGCTGATTAAAGTTTAGATGATCGGCAAAAGTCATAACATCTTGAGCACGTCCATAAAGGAGTAATAGTGACAGCTAGCAACGAAAATTAATAGCAACAAGCAAAAATGATAATGAAAAAAAGATATTTCACGAGAATTCGTTGCTTACTCTTTCCACACACCTCAAATACATAAGAATAAAAATAAGACAATAATAAAACCCGAAAAATTAATCTTTACTTAGTTGCGCGGAAAACCAGATCATCACAAATAGAACACGTACGAGTAAACGGTGAAAAATAAAAGCCTGAGGTATCAAAAGATAGCCAACACAAACGAGGCTGCTGCTGCCACACACAATCACAATTAGAATTACACACACATACACACACACCACAAGACTACACTGACGTGGCAGGTACTGCCCTGCACAACAGACGCATATACACATGTGTACGAAACAGGTTAACACTGGGTAGGTGGAGCGGCAACATAGTCTCTGTATCTCTGTTCGTACATTCAGTGACGAGAGTCAGCCCAAAAGGCGGGGTCGTCCTATTTTAGAATGCTCACGCCTCACTGGTAGCTTACTGTGTATGGTGAGTGGTGTGCAAGATCTATGCACTAAGGGGTATGAGATTGGGTGTTGGACGTCAAGTGTTGTTTGTGTGTGGCGTAGTGTGGTGTGGTAGGAGGTGGAACGGATTGGGTGGTAATAGTGAGGTAGGCTGGCCTGACGAACTCGTTAACTCTGTGATGCTGTTTGTGGGTTCGTCAGGTCAGCCTACTACTCTCCTCTTCTGTGTGTATGTATGTATGGGCATTACGAGAACCATTTGTATTTTCATGGAAGAAGCCACGTGGGCGAAACTGCCTCAGGTTCTCTTGTATGAAGTTGCATGTACTGCCTAATTGGTTGGTATCGCCTTGGTACTTGGTCGTGTTCGTGAACAAAGAAATAAAGATTAGCGCTAATAAAATGTACTAATCTACTAGGGCAATTGCCATATCAATTTTTTAATGTCTTATTGTTACTGTGCACTATATTCGTGCGGAATTTTATTTAGTTGTGGAATGTTTTAGTGGTGATCCTGTGTCTGAAAACGATGTTCATTTCGTTTTTTTATCAAGATTATTCGTCCCATACTTCGGAAGTTGTTCATTTTGTGGTGACATATGTTTCGTAGTTTATACTGTAACTCCTCATTTTTCATTTTTTGCTGTCGATATTTGATAGCCTTAATATGTTTGCGCAGTTTATCCAAAGAGTTTTATTTCTTGGACAGAACATTTTTATTTGGAACGAAGAATCTCTATCCTGGCTCCTTCTAGATTATTGCTTATTGTTAGCGCTGTTCATGTAGATAGGAGCCAGCGGGAGATAAATTGGTCAAACAGCATTACATTTCATGTCAAATATTTTTTTCTTGATTTCGATTTGTATCTTCACATCTCAACATGAAGCCAGTTAGATGTGCTGTTTATTGAGCAGAATGTCCTTTATACTGGATGTAACTGATTTTAACACGTCGTGGTCACTCATGTCCCTGTTTTTCAGAACATATGGTAATAGACAATTATATGAGGCGTGAGATCCAGTGTCATGTATTCTCGAAAGTGAAGTAGGGAATATTTATGAGCTTTTATCAGTTTTAGTTTTCAGCAGATTATTAATGCATGCTCTTAGCATTGCATTGACCAATCATTTTAAATAATAATAATAATGGTAGCAATAGGCTTCGTTGTTATTGTTTGCAACAATTAAGCAGAAATACATCATTTCAGATTTTTTTAGTCGCATAATGATGTAGCTGGAAGCTATCCTCATTTATTATTGCTACATAATTAAATGCAAAGGAACGAGAGTTGGCAAGCCTATGCTTTCATTTTCTTTTCCCGAAATCTGCAGAAATTTAACTTGAGCAAACATGCAAGTACGCGTGTCTTATCTCCTATGGGAAATGATATAACTGCGTTAAAAATTGGTTGCAAGTGCATTGACTCGTAGAGTTTACAATTTTCTAGCTCAGTATTGCATTTAATTGTGAAAGGAAATATTTGTTCTACAAGATGCGTGAAAACGTTGCTACTGATAAATAGATTTATTCTCATCGAAAATGTGATATTAATATCGTCAACAATGAAGATAACGAAGAGCACTTGTTCAGCTTTCTATCCATGCCTTATAATAAACAGTGATATATTTATCTTTCTCTACATAAAACATCCAACACATTCAGCATTTCATGTCAAGAAAAATGCATACATAACATCTATGGACGAATTCAACTATTATCACACACAATACCTCAAAATAATATATATGTATCAAGGTATAGCCCAACACAGCGCTTTACACACGCGGTGGGTTCCATGGGAACACATCTACTTTTGGTTCTCATATCAAAGCAGGCATTTCTGCTTTCTTCGCCAGCATTTAGGTACAAGTATGTCGAAGAAATGAAGCGCAGCGTTGGTATTAATGTACACATCCGTGCACGCATATTAATCACAATGTGCAAGCAACGACACGGTAGTCGGCCTAAGTTTGAAATCGCTTTTCACGACGTCCTCAAAACATCTAAAGAGGAAATGCATGCAAGACCAATTGAGTATCTCAATTTTTATCCATTAGCCCAGAACTACCATAATCTCCCCATGCTAGCCTCATCAAATGCAATCACTAATAACCGGTTTCTCCTTTGCGGAACAAGCACTCCTCCTGGTAATTAACACGCATATATATGACTTTCGTATACAAGAGACAGGTATATACATATATATATTAAATGCAACTATGGACCTTAAAAGTATTTTGTGTGACATTATGACATCATGCTGGTAGTATGTGTGTATGGTTTGCTCCCGATAATAATTTGCGATTACAGACAAACATTTCCCCCATCCCAGTCATGACTGCCGTGCGGGAAGATGAGGAAGATGTACAGTGACGACCCCCACGCATTAGTTAACCATTAAAATTTTATATAATAACTACTTCAGCAGTGTAACCGCAACTCTTGCTGCTGCAGTCATTCTGCAGCACTAGTAGCAGTGGCGTTGCTTATCTACTATTCGTAGCGTGTAAAGAAATAAAAAAGACTCGCTCTCTCCCCACTCATGAGAAAAAAGGTCACAGAGGGCAGGGGTTTGCATTTCATATTTGTTTGTTCACCCTCACCACTGCAAATAGCAGGGGAAGAGTAGAGCTGGGTAGAACATACTGGTATAGTGGTATGACGCCTTAACATTAGAGACATGAAGAGGAAGAGAAATGTAAACTAATGAGTAAACAAATGCGTGAATGAAAGGATGAATGAATAAATGAATGAATGGATGATCATACGAATGCTCACGCTCCTGGGTGTTTACAGCTTGAGTTGAGTCATAAAGTTGAACTGTAGCAGCCATGAAGTGACATGAAAACACGAGACTGTATAGATTTTCTTTTCTAGGTGATGTAGAGTAAAAATTTCAATTCCCTTCCTGTTATCAACTGATAGAGCGCTTCGTTCCGAGCTCAATGCTGCGTTCTGTACTGAAATTATGAAGCTGACAGGAATAATTTTTAAGGGTGAAGAGAGGATGAGACGAACGATTATTGTTCTCTCACAGTACTCTCGCTCTATAGAAATTCCAACATCCCGTTAAGTGAGCAAACAGCCCAGAGCATATCTCGAAGGACGACATACCAACCAGCCCGTCAGCATCCCATCCACTCACTCACTCACTCACTCACTTCCCTCATTTACCCTTTACTTCGCGCTCAGCACTCCTCAAATCTCTCAGTTCTTTCTTTATTCTCTTCTCTCCTTCCCTTTTTTTCCATTACAAAATCAATCGATAAGCAAAAAGAATAGAGCGAAGTTGTGTACCCCCACTTATATTTATTTTTATTGCCTGCAGGGACCAGCCGATCGACCTTTTCCTTCCCCACCTCTCTTCTCAGTGTCTTGTCTTCGTCATTCGTCCGGAAATGAATAGTATACAACGATTTCGGGGACTTCCCAGCACAATTTTTAATTTGTATTTTCGCAGTTACTTTCAATGAAGTAAGACTTCTCTGCGTCAAAGTCTTTGACTTTCAAGTAGGATTGAAATGTTATTATTAGTAAGTATTGGATGTTTATTGAGGAACGTTATACCTCATTGTTGAGTTACCAAAAAACGAAGAAATAAGAAAGGGAGCATTATTTACAATGTATTGAAATTCCTTTCGTATGTTATCATTCATCATCGAAAGTCGCAGGTAGTTGTCTTTGAAACGCCCGATTTTATTATGGTAGTTGCTAATGTCTTTCGCAAGCATGTTTTTGATGTTTCTAGTAAAATGAGCAGTCTTCGTCCTGTATTTCTGAAATTGGCAAAACTTCACATCTGATTTTTACTTCTGTTCAATAGTAGCGAGCGCATTGTAGGCTACGGACAAATGGAAATTTCAGCATAATAAGAAATGTCTCACACAGATGAGAATATCTGTGTTGCGAGGGCCGTAAAGCATTGTTTTTGGATCGGCTTCAGTTGTTCATTTTTAGTCAGGATTTGTTCACGTCAATTTGTCGACGGATTTTGGATTAGATGATATTTCGAATCACTGAAGATTGGGATAGGAAAAATATTTCCGTATTTTCGATTGCATTAAACATTGCTGTAGAATAATTAAAAATATATGCTGTTGATTATCATAATGAACAGAAATAATGTAGTTCTTCATTCAGCCACATGATTATTGGTTTCGAGTGATCAACGTCAAATATAACCTTTCATTTAGAGTGGGTTACAGATTTTGATTTATGGATATGGAAGTTATTTTCGTATTCTGATCAATACTTTACGTGATATGTCTCCTTCTGGGAATGAGTGTTGTTAATAATGTATACAGTCCAAGAATTTGCTGAACACATCTGTAAAAGTCCTTCGTTCTCTTCTCAGAAGTTTTTGTGTGGAATTTAGCATTTCGTTAAGACATATTACTTTTTTTTACCTTATAATATGACCAGTCCACGAAAGTTTTACTGCAAGTTTCTCACGCAAACTCTATTCCTTATCGTATCAGACAGCAAACATGACTTTAATCAAAAATAAACTTGAAACATGCATTACGAAAAACAGCAGTATGATAGTTTAAAAATATAGTCCAAATTGCAAGGCAAGGTAAAGTCTGTGGTTTACATTACTAACTAAGATTATTTCCAAGATTTGTATTATAAAATTCAAAGCTCAACGTTTAAGCAAATGAATCAATATTGCAGCAATTATTAGTTGCTATGGTAGCATTAAACAAGTCATGAAAAATTACTTCTTGGTAGAAGCAGTTTGAGGACGGAGCGACGACGTCGTTCTAATATAAAGCCAGACATGGCCAGTATTAAATTTACTGGTCAAATCACATTAATCTAACCCCAAGCACCTAAGCTTATCAAAAATCTTCCGCTACCACCCATTTCTGTACTGTTGTATTTGTCCTAGTCCTTCTTCTGTCCTTTCTTATGCACCACATCTTTTAAATTTCCTATTACTTGAATAAATCATAAAGTAACTTAAAATTTACTCTTTCTTGTGTAACACTCCGAATACTGTATCATTTTTTGGCTGCATGGCGATATAATCTGTAAACCGATGTATGAATCCATCAGTTTGCACAATTTTGCATTTCTTCAATTCAGCACTTGGTAGATTTTCCGTTAGCAATCACAAGAATCGACTTCAAGCTTTCGTGTGCAGATCAAATTGCTTCCTTTCCTTCCGGCGTTTTAAAATTTTTATTGAGTCCAAAAATTTTCACAAAGCACCTATGAATCTTTTGCAAGATCAGTAGCTGTTCCAAGAATGTACATTACATTCGCTAAGTCTCCTCTACACGTTCTACTTATAATTTGAAAACGCGAGTAGAAATGTTTTCATACTTTACTTGATTTTAGTGTGGCTAAAGCAAGTATACAGTTTATTGTCCTGTTTTAGATATTTCTAATGGCATTCAAACGGTTCACACAAAGTATCATTAATTTCAAAAAAGTTGCTGATTTGGTGGGAGAAAAGCATGCCAAAGAGGTCACAGCTCTAGCTGTAAGTTTTGTAAATAGAGTTTATTATTGCTAATACCTGTTAAGCATATGTGCTGGATGTATCTTTAATTTTACAATTACAAAGTGCTCTTTAAATAAAATGTGAAGTTTCTTTCGGATCTTTTTTTTTGATCATCTAAGTCGTTCTCTTCTTTCTTGATTCATAGTGTACAGATTTTTAATATTAAAAATCATCCAAAGTCCCTTGTGTAGTAATTTTCGTTCCTTTATTATTTTGAAAAGTATAATATGAAGAAAGTACTTTATTCGTATTTTCTTTATTTTCAAATCTTTTAGCACCATCATCATCAGTACTGGAGTGTAGTGATGTCAAAGCTTGCAGAATTGCCGAAATATGACTTTGCAAAACTAAAGGAGCAAATGCCAGAGCATAGAGCAGTTTTAAATAATTTGCAGAAACAGTATGAGGCATTAAAAGTACCATTTGGTACTGTTCCAGAACGACTAACTCAAGTAAATGGATTTTTTTTTGATTCTTTGATTGGTGTAGGACTGGATGAAACACCATCAAGAGCTGTAGCTTTATTACAGAATTGTCTTGGGACAGTGTTGAAAAATGATAAAATGTTTAGGTGTTAGTCGCATAAAATGGCTTGATGAAGCTGTTCTGGTAAGTTTCAATCTAGTTTTTTACTGTGATTTAGATTGGGCAGTTGTTTGTTTATTTTATATATTAAACATTGTAAATTTGAAAAAGCTCTGCTTAGATTTTTTATACATATGGTATACTATGGAGTTAGTTATTAAAGTTTAATGATTTATAACGGTTTTGTATTAAAATTGCTGTTAAATTCATTTGATAAGAGGTCAACATGCTTATTGATCTCTTCGTTTATATTTGGTCATTTTTTATGCGTTATTTTGTACAAAAGTTTTCAGGAAATTGATCAGTTTCTAAAGTACATCAATGCGAAAATGGATTTTCTGAGCCGTAAATTGCTAGATGCTGTAGAAGATGAAAAGAAAGTTAGCCTAATCTCTTTGTACTTTTTTAGTAAGCGTACAGAGTTCTATTTTGTTCACGTAAGTAACCTTGATCCTCTAATCATTATTTTTCATGGAATTAGATGAAGTTTAGGGTATAGATATGTATTTCATTATTCTGACGTTTTTTTTTGTTTTTTGCAATTTTAAGCCATGTATTTTAGATAGAGTGTTACATATTTACAGTTTTTAAAAAATATTTGTTCGTGGTAAAAATAATTCAGGTATCATTGACTGCGATTTCCAAAATTTTGTTCATTGAATTTGCAGGTGAAAGCTAAATATGAAAACATGCCACCTATTGAGCACTTTCGCCAAGAACACTTTGCGAAATTCTTTCCAGAAGTGCATCGCGATGTTCGCTTACCCATTGAACGTTTTACAATGGCATGGGGTACCTCAAGCACTCCTGAACATTTTCAGGAACTGAAGAAACTTTATAGAGACTATCGTACACGTCCTGCTCCTGAACATCACGGAAAATGATATAATATAATTATATGATATAGCATATGTTTCTAGTTATCCGAATATAATTGTATGTAAAGTAATTTGTATCATTAAATAAAGTTTCATTGTTATTTTTGATACATGTGCCATGTTTCGTTTCGTGCAAAAAAAAACTTATTTCTTTGTATATGAGTTCATTACCTAGTGTGACGGGCCAGAATATACTACTTTTCACTTACAAACAGGCAAACAATATAATGATTGTAACTCAGTGTTCTTGACATGTTTCATCTATCGAAGATTTGGAGCTTCTGGTTTTAGCTTTTCTCTTCCATATCTGGCGTCCAGTACTTCAAGTGTTTGTGGTATTAGTATCATAATATGAAGTCGGAGAAAGTTCTAGCAGGATCTGATCGTCATTTCACATTTTTGAGATTAATGAAATTTGTTACTTTTCAGTATATTTTCTCAAGTGTGAGAGAACATTTGTTTCATTGAAAATATGGCCAATTCACTCGATGCGTTTGCAAAAACGGTTGTAGGACTCACTATTTCTTGTGAGTTTATTTTTATACTTTTGGTGTGAGGTAACCCTCCACTGCAGCTTGCACTTCTAGTACCATCAATATTCCTCATAGTTATTTTAAAAAATTTGAGCATCATGGCAAGAGTTGGCTGATCTTCATCGTAAAGCTGTGTATGATGTCTTGTGTCGAAATTTGCCTTACTTGGATTCGTTATTAGAATCGCTGAGTGCTGATGATTACTCGATGACTTTTGTGACGGTATTGTTTGTTAAGATGAATCAAGTGTACACCGAGTCTATCAAGAATCGGGTATCATTTTATTGAGATTAGTTGCTCTTATTTTTAGGTATTCTTTATATGTGGATAACTTAGTTTTGAATAGATTTACATGGTTTAATTACCTGATAATATTTGTTTTGTTTGAGTCATGTTTATGACGTTTGAAAAACAGTTTCAGTTTTTTGCTCCTGTTTTGAATAAATGGAGAGAAATAATGCTTCATATGGAACATTAGCTAGATGTGTTCTGGAATCGGCTTATGAATACAAGATAGTTTTGAGCTATCTGCAGCATTTCAGCGAGATTAAATTTAGCTATTGTTTTTTGCAGTTCGAACAAACTTTATCTCAAGTCGAGTCGATAATCCCATTTTTGAACAGTAGTCATATCTCATTTATTCCTGATATTTGTAAGTTATTATTTTTCCGTAGTGTGATTTCTAATTCAATTGAATGTTTCAGTAGTTTGTGAAATTGCTATACAGTCATAAGTACTTTCACTGTTCATAATTTTCAGACATATCGCTTTTTCGAAAAGTTTATGATTATTATCTTCACATCAGTAAGGTATTTCACTTTTGGATCTTTATTAAAGTCATTTTTCCCACAGATCAGCATCGTAGTTTTGTTTCGGGTCATCTAAGATAAGTTGTAAGAGCATTTAGTAAATTAATACTATTTTCTGTATCTAAATGTTTGTACAAAAATGGGTGGTAAGATTTCATTAATGATGCAGTATGACATATCAAGTTGATTAGCGTTTTCTGAGATGATTTGGCGACGTAGTCGGATGTTATTCGATCAGTCTTTATGAGAAAAGGATGGAGTTTGGTACTTTTCTTTCTATTATGGCTTTTTTATAGTATGTAGTAACTAGAATTCCAGACACATAAAAAAATATGTTTCAGCCAGCTCGTGGTATAATGATTCTTTCAAATGCAATTAGTCTCTTGATAAAAGATGAACAACATACCATTACTTCCTTACACCCATGTCTTTTTTGTTTATGTCTTAAGGCTCGTATACATGATCCAGCTATACCATTCTTACACCTTGGTGTATTCAAAATATTTCAAGAGGTATGAAGTACAACCTGTATTTCTAATATTTTTTCTCTATTGTCAACTAGCATCATCTTTAAGGAATTCAATTTTGTGCTACAAAACACATTTACTTTAGGCGTTTGCTTAACATAAAGTTAATGCGAACTATAAACGAAAATGATTCATTACAGACCACAAACGAAAATGACGCTTATATGGATCCAAAATGGGTGTTGTTATATTTTTATTATGGTGGTTTATTATATGCAGTTTTGGGTTATTACAGAAAAGCATTTTTAATGATGCAGAAAGTTTGCTGCATGCCTGCAGTTCTTCCCAGTCATATAATGCTTCAAGCATACAAGGTTGTTGCTTTTTACTTACTGTTATTTATCAAGTTACTATTTACTTCATAAGCATTATTTTTTGAAAAACTTTAAGAAATCGTGTATATACTTGGTCATGTTATCATTATATTCTTGTATCCAAAGGGGCAATTTATTTTTATGAAATTAATGTTTTTAAGATTTCCAGTGATTTTGATATTACACTTGCAGAAATATGTACTTTTCTCATTAGTTTTGTCCGGTAAAGCAAGTGTACTGCCTAGTTACCGATCTGCAGTATTGACTCGTTTTGTCATCCCACTTTGTCCTGATTATTTGGCTTTGGAAAAAATATGTGAAAGTGAAGAAGAGAACTTTGATAAGTCGGGTGCTGTACTGGAGTATTTAGAAGCCCATTATGTTGTATTCGAAACGGTATATTTAGCAATTCAATTAATCTGCAAAAAATGACTTTCTCGAAAATAGACATTATTCAGGTTTTAAGGTTCAAAATTGGCTCTTTAATTTAGCTATATGTTATTACAAAAGCTGATTTAGTAGGTTTTTTAATAACGTATTACTCTTTTCGAATTTCACAGATTAAAACCATTTTTTTTGGGTCTTGATTTACTTTGTTAAGGAGTTACGATTTTTCAAATAAATTATTATCTTTTCATTTTCCAAACTTTTTGTCTATGAGCTATTTGCAAGTTTATATTTTTGTACGTTTCAGGATAAAAATGTGGGATTAGTGAAACTTGTGGCCAGAAGCATTCGCGAAAATGCAGTGAAAAATTTATCCCGTGTTTGTTTTTCAGAATTGCCAAAAAATTTAAATGCAACTTCAATAAGGATTATTTCTTATCAATAACAATAGACAGTTCTATAAATTTCAATTAACAAATGATCAGGGTTCAAAATGTCTATTACCTTTATGATTCTAGGAAACTGAAAGTTTTACTGAGACTCTTTATAGATCTGTAAGTTTTTTATGGTACTAGGGAATAGAGTAATCGCGTTTTAAAACCAATGGGGAGGATTTTTCTGATTTATTGACAGAATTTTTGCTGGCATCAATCGATTTGGGGGGACGGAAGTAGAAGGAATCGTGGTTACAAAATAAAGTTTATTATTTCGCTGATACTTATTATTAAGATTCATTTGTTCCTTGCATACATTAGCGATTGAATTGATTTGTTTTATAGTGTTTCACCTCCATTTCGCTGTCCGATGTAGTTCGACGATGTTTTTTAAACAATATTAATCATGCGGAATGGTACCTTTATTCTATGAGCAGAAATGGAAGCATTAAAGTTCGCATTGATAAAAAACGGAGCCTTGCTTATTTCGATGAAATCAGAGTTTGTTTTTTTATTTTATATTACTTAAATGCCTGGAAACAACTCAGCAAATAAGTCAACCATGACTTGGAACATTGGGTTGTGTGCATATGTAAGTAAGATATAGTCTTTTTTATCATCGGCAGACGGTTTCTATACTAGCAACTCGACGAGATGAACATGTTTAAATAGCTTTGAAATTGTTGGATTTAAATTCGTTTTGAGAAGTAGTTTCTGTGTTCACTCATTTTTCCTTAGTAGTATTTGTGGGTATTATTTTTGTAGGTGGATATGGAAGACAATTTATTAGATCAGAGAGCAAGCAAAATATACAAGTTAGATGCATTACTGAAGCAATTTGATGACGAGATTCGCACTAGTCCTGAATTTGTTTCTCGAATTTTACGACCACCAGCTCGAGGAACTGCTTCAGTCCCATCAGATGAAAGTTTGGGGCATCCTGGCTCTGTTTTTATGCCTAATCTTAATGTTGGAGATATCGAATCAGCGGCTGGCAGGCCCATGGACATGGTTGATTGATAAATACTTCTTCGTCGACAAATATATATTGGTTTTTTATATGGGTTGCTAAGATCTAAGACATAAACATTGTTAGAGATCTTTAAATCTGTCTAGTTGTTGCGGTTCCATTATTTTTTTTGCGCACTTAAGTTGTACAGAACTTGGCAACTAGTAGTTCCTGGAACATTCCGCACTTTACGTATTTTCGATCACTGTACATGTAAGTTGTAGCAGTTTTTTTCGATATTGAGTTATTATGATGTTTTCATGTGCATAGTAATGATCACGAGGTTATTACGCAGTGGTTTTTACAACAAAGCTTGAGACGCCACTGTTTCTGGGTTTTGTAAACTGTGCTAGCACTCGCCATTTTCGTCACAAAACCCTAAGCTTTGATGCTTGAGTTTGGACACTGAAAGCGCGATCAGAAAAGCTAATTTCACTCATTGTCTCAGAATCATTCGTAGTCTGTAATGCATTTAGGTGAAGTATGCCAAAAACAAAGCTGGGTTAGCCTATATTCATTTTGACAGTTTTTCAGAAGTCTTTTCTACTTCATATCTGGTCTTCTTGTAGAATCTTTTAGACCCAAGACTATAATCTGTAATTTTGTTCATATAACTCTACATCACAATATAAGATTGATCCATATAATGCATATTGCTATACTACATATAAGTTTTCTGGAACGATTTCCAGATCTTCAAGAAATATACAGAAAATATGTTATAGAAATAGAGGCCGATATTTCTATATAAGTTCCAATAACTACAACACTGTATCTTACAACAACTAGCACAATGAGATGGAATTCTAGACATATTTACAATAACAGGGTAACACTGGTACAAGAAAACATTTTCCGCATTTTTTACAAATTAATTATGAGATTTGGGCTATTGGTACCAGCTATGACAGTGCATTTCAGGCTCATCCTTTATGTAGCTATGTATAATATCACAACAGACATTTTACAGTTAGCCCACTATGTTATCATGTAATTGATCAAGCCGATAAGTTAGATTCTCATGGCCTGTGATGAGATTACAAAACTGTGTTTAGATGTAAATAAGGAAATTAGTAAAATGAAAATACTATGGAGTAGGTAGAACGCACGCGTAAAACGACTAGATGTATGAATCAAGATATTGTACAGTGACCGTGTGAAACAGCGACAACATAACAAATGTTCGGAGAGGTTTTTGTTAACGAACAACAATCAGTAAAACCTTCCAAACTCACAACAACAAAGATAAATAATCAGAGAACAGTAGAATGATGGGCGGGGAAAGTAGTGTTGAACAATATCTTGTGAAAAAAATGGTTCAGAAAGTACAACGGATCATAGCAAATACTTTGAAATGAAAAATGATCAGAAGCTGAAGGACTTAGGCATCAACTTTATCCAGTTTTGGATCAAAACATATTGAGTAACAGTGCTCGCTTGTAGCGCCCGTAGATTGACTAGGCTGGGTGCTTGAGGTTGGTCGATTGATGAATGGATATGTACTACTGATAGTATCCGGCCACCAACCCATCTGATAAAAAGAATTATTAAACTTTTTGCAAATCACAAACATGCCACTTCTGCTTTCACTACATGTAAACAACTAACCTGCTCTAGACCAGGTGGCACTTTTAAGTTCTTAGGTTGTACATTCCCAGCACTCAACCAACGATTAAATGCTTCTCCTTTTTGGGAGGTTTGTTCGCGACTTGTGACTGTATCTAGTGGCCGTAACTTAAAAACAGGTACTGGCTGTAATTCATCACATGAGAAATAAACCTGGTTATGCACTGAAAAATGCAAAGCCATTTCTACATGAAGCTGCTGCCTAAATAACTGTAATCAATACTGCAATGACAAAAATCAACCAGATTCGATGTTATGCTGTTTTCGGTGTTAAATTCGCCAAAAGGATTGAACTGTTGATGATAACTGCCAGTATCAATGTGTTGTTCCCTCTAAACTAGAATGTCAATTAATGATGAGCACATTGCACAAGCTGTGCAAAATTTACTTTGCCCAACTTACAGATTTCACTTCCGGGGAATTGTTAGTTCCAGCACTTCCGATTCCAGAATCACCGTCTGATATACCGCGCTGAGCTACTCGCCAATCTTTGACCGTCTACATCATAAAATGTGATCAAAAAATTTTTCGTGAGTAGAAAACTTTACAACTAGACATTTAGCTAACCACATTCTCGTGCACTGGAGAAATACGACGGAGTTTGCGCTCATAACCAATTGGGACGTTGGGACCCATTGCTGAGAGAGTTAGTGAAGTCGACTGTGAATTAACTACTGGACAGTTCTGATCGAAATTCCAAAATTGCTGGAAATCGCTAGGCTTTCAAGTTTTCCATTTTATGCTCGTCCAATTTTTTTTGCTTTTAATAATAGAATCTTGAAAAAAAAAAACCTACTCGAGCATATGACGGTGTAAGAGTATTTGAAGAGTTCATCCGAATTTCGTAATCATATGGATGTAAACCAGGATATACGAAACGCGCAATACGAAGTTCATGTGGTCCATGTGCAAACCTGAAATTATGCGGTCATTCCTGAACTATCTGATTTACCTTTCTTTCCACTTCACCTTCAACTCTTAAGCCCTACATAAGCGATTAATATTAATATCTAGCTTCGGGAACATGAAAAACTAGAATCAAGTCACATTTAACAATCAGCACATCTTAATGAAAAAATTAAAAGTTCCTAACCAACAGCGGTCACCAAATCGGCATGGTACACCTGCGCTCCAGAAATCGCATAAAGCTGTCTTATATAGCTCACGATTTCGTTGATTCGGTGTTTTTGCCGTGCGTATCTGAAATGCCAAATTGATTTGATACGTAATTACAGCATAAGAATCTAGTTTTTTTTTTTAAACTGTTTGTATTTACTTAATTAGAAAGCCAAGCACATGACGAAAATATCAAAAAGAGCCCCAGAGATCTAAGAGGAAATGTCAATAATCTAACATGAAATTCAGCTGGATAAGTACATGCCGAATGTGGCAACTGCTTTTGAAGCATCAGTTCATTCAATAATTGCTTTTGAGTTTCTAACTTGAGTGCCGCCATTTTCTGCTCTAAAGAAGCTTCCTCCCATTTCAAATTGTAGTTCTCAAATAATCTAAAAATTTTCGAGAAAAAGTCACTGGAACAGAGTAAGGTAAACTGTCATGCTAAAACTTTTACCAAATTTGAAATATCAAAGAAACAATTTGTGAATACAAAAATTACTCCCATTTATCTTTTTTTCTCTGATGGCATTTCGAGAGAAAACTTGTAGCATCTACTTTTCACAGATGAAACATCAAGGAAGGTCAGTCATCCAACCACAGAAAGTAAAGCACTTTTGTTGGAAATTCACAATATAAGAACAACCTAACATTCTTCACGCCAATTTTGATATTGAGAATTTCAAACTAACGCTTGATCAGCTAAAGATGTTGTTAACTGGGGTATCGATGGAGTAGTAGCTGAAAAGCTACCCAACTTGGAAGGATAGAAGAAACCAGAGTCAACGCTAGTTGTAGAAGTCCCTTGCTCTTGCTGTTGCATATCGTATTTCTGTTATTGAAATCAGTTCAATACCTTGTATATAATTAGCTACACTCAGCGATCTGTAACATTATCATGATTGACATAGCTCCTGTCAATCCTACTTTGAACCAACAGAATCTGACAATTAGCAACCTTAACAGTAATTATCTAACTGATAAAGTTATCGGATACCTAGACCATGAAATGTTATTTCTGCTTAGACACTAGTTCAAAAATGACGACTTTATAAGTGAAAGCTCTGAAACTTTACACTCACTCGATATGAACTGTCCTAAATAAACAACCAGTACTGAATTGTAACACAAACCATGGAATATCATTTCAGAAACCTACTAAATGTTCCCGTACAAGATAAAAAATACAAAAATTCTGGAAAACCATTTCCCAAAACAACTTTTATCCGATCCAACTGATTTGCAAACCATACAAATGACAAATGACTAGATGAGAATTAACAAATAGTAATGCATCATGTTAATCCCGCTCTTTCGCGCGATATCTACTGCAATGAATTTGCACAGTCAGAGATCGGAAACACACAAATGAGAAGAAGAAGATTATATATTTATTACACAACGTCACATTGTAAACCTGGGCCACAGGAATAACAAATAACTGTCATGAAACAGATCTAGTTTCTGAAGTCTTACTTGAACAAGTGAGCTATACTAAATTTTACATTTACATGCTCAAATTCTAAATTCTGAGTAATGGCTTATTACATCAAATTAATCTGGCACTATCTGACATTTGTAATATCCTTCAATATGAATATATCCTGACAAATTTTTTCTCAAGAACATATTAAATACGTATCTCACAAAAGTACAATACGATAATTGCCTGGTTTAAAACTATCAATCATTAATTAGATCAAGCGCCCAAAAAATATATGAAATAAGATATGAAAGAGTCACTAATCAAAATTTTAGTTTATAAACGAATGATGACAAATGATTTGTTAGCTTTCAAGTTTTAGTCAAAAGTATTTGTTTGCAAGTTAGAGGCAATATTTTACAAAAGTTTCATTAAAACAAGGTTACCGAAAAGACAAGATTGGAAAGATTATATATATATATCATGGCAATTTTCGATACACAATATCCCAAACAAAATTTGCAGTAAATGTCGGAGGGAGAAACACATAATATGAAACACTGTATTTTGTGATATACCTTTACGCTGCAAACAATACTCAGATGTAGGCAAAAAGCTTCTTTTTTCCAACCATCTGTTCGAGTAATAAAAAGACTGTCGCACGGCAAAACACATCCTTTTACTTTACTACTTCAAAACATTCAATTATGATTTCACATTATGAAATATAAGAACCTATATAATGTAGAAGTTACTGATGAGCACAAAAATAAAAAATAAAATAAAAAATAAAAAAGCCAAAATCCAAACCAACTATCAGCTCTTACAATTTCCAAAGATGTTGCCATTTCTGTTTATTTCTTCACTCCTTTTTTGTTTTTGTCTGGCTATCATCAGTAATCTTCTTTGGACCATTTGAAGGCTTTCTATTTTCTTCAGATTTCCAAGGGTTTTTTTTATCAGGTATGACTTGACAAAGAAATCCGCGATACTTTTCATCATATTCATTTTTCAATAGTCTGATTTTGTCACGATCGTCTTCTCCAACTAATCCAGCTTTCTTATCAATGTAATCAGTAGAAGGTAATCCATAAAGCTCTTCCAGAGTAACCAGTGTAGACCAGTGCGGATATTTGCGTCGACCACTTGGCGCTACATCTTTCGTTACATCCTGTTTAGCACTGAAAGATTAAAAATTCAAATCAGTATTTACAGCTGAATAAAAATTTGAAAGTAAAACTATTATCGAGTAATTATGTTTCTTATACAGAATATCTCAATCATAATTTGAAGATAAAAGTTTTACCGGGCAATAATATCTTTTATATATTTTTCTGGATCAAATGCTCTATATCCTTCAATGATTTTGGACATGCGATTTTTGAACAAATTTTCAGCCTGTAATCTTTTGAAAATTTAACAGATAAACGTTGTGAAAATAAATTTATGCTTTATGACGACCTGAACAAATGAGAACAAAATTTTCAACTTTTTTTTCTGCTTCTGCTCTTTAATTCTCATGTTCTCATGTTTAGAAATGAAACTCATAAGCTGAAAAATTATTTCTATAATATGTTTAGTGTTCAACACAACTTTCCAAAAATTATTTTAAATGAAAAGCTTCTTAATCTGATTTATTCAATTACTTTTGCTTTCTTCTGTCGATGGTATTTCTGGTATTTAAAATAATCTCGATCGAAGCGTTTCCGACGTTTGTGTTTCCTCATTTTGTGCCTTCGAATCCTTAGCATACGTTCACCACCAACTTTTTCTCGAACAGGAAATCGCTGAGGCAACTCCAAAGGTATCTGCAATATGAACTGAAGCACCTGACAAGACTGTTTTTGGGTATGCATATAAAATAGCATATAATCGAATAAAAAAGTTCATATATACAAAATTCACTTGAGTTTCTGGGTGAGGGTCGAATTTTTCCAGAATTTCACGAACAAAGAAACCCGGGACGCATAAGTTTCGCCTACTTATGCCGGGTAGCGTGAAAACCTGCAATATAATTTATACTTATAAGGAAATTGATACATACTAAACCAAGCATCTGAAGCAAGTAATATAGATGACGGTATTTGACGGAAACTTTTAATAAAGGCCACAACAAAATTTTTAATCAATTAAGATTCAATGTCAAGCAAAAAATTATTAGACTGAATATTTTGCAAAATATAGTGTCGGTAAGAGTACTAACTAACATTTTGTTAAATAATTTTATTCGGAGGATGATGTGAAACTTAGTTCTCACCATTTGCTTATTCTTCGCTGGCAACTGCTTAAAAATCTGTTTTAATATGGAATCTACACAGGCAATTTGTCTATTGGCATGATAAGTTTCAGGAGAATAAAGTAAATGATGACGTGCTTGGACGAGACTCATTGCTTCATTTTTTCCTGAAAACAACTAGACGAGAAAAACATGGGACACGTATCACATCATGAAGAAGAAATACACAACATGTCAAATACATGATAAGCCACAAAAATGAAATTGAAATCTTACCAATAAAACTGTTGTTCACACTGATGAAAGTGAATCGCAAAAAATGTTTTTCTAAGGTTCTCCCAATGACATTCATTTTTTAATCACTCAACTGTAATAACGTTAATAATTTGCAACTATTACAAAACGAGAAATAGAAATAGGACGAGTTTCAGAGGAATACAAGTAGGCTTTATCAAAATGGTAAATAGTATTATTGCTGAAGCAAAATGTTTGTGCACTTATTTTTATCAATTACTACGCCAAATTACTTTTACAATTACAAGGCAATAAACTAGTGGATAAAAAAAGCATATCACTGAGATAAAAAACAAGCTTTATTACCTCAATTTTAGATCACTTTCAACTACTGCGAAGACAAATTTTTCTAACTAAAAAGGTAGCTAGCGAAAACGGATCTAAAAGTCATGTAAGTTAATCCCGGCTTCCAATGAAGGTCTATTATTTCACAATGAGAATGGAGTTTAATTCAAGCCTCTAAGTTTTTGTCCGATGAATGAATTCCTAAACTAAACAGCTTAATAACACAAGAAATTGTTGTAAATGAGTTTTCTTAATAAAAATGCATAGTATACTTACTATTTTTATTAAGAAGGAAGGAACAAACTACAACTCAATTTCAAACTGGTCCATCGAGTGCTTAAGTTCCGAAACAAAAGCATAGAGTTGTCAGAAAAACTGCCAATACTACAAACCCCACCACTCAACCAAGCAATGACTTTAGGAATTCAGGATTCAAAAACAGTGTGTTGCACACTTCGCATTCTTGGTGATTGTAGGTAAATAACGAAGGAAGTTAATGCAATCGCTTTATCCCAATAATGTAGAAATGAATATGATTTTGCTCTTTCTCCTGTTTATTATGTCTATGAGATGTAGAAGTCGGCATATCTCATGTTCTTAGTGTTTTAAAGGTGTTAACTTCGCACATGTTCTTTACATGAATGCATATGTTCCACGTATGGAACAACTATATCACATTTTATGCAGGTTATTACAAAACAAGAAACAGAAATTAGATGAGTTTACAAGCATATCTGCTGTACTGCACTAGTATAAGCTGTAACCAGTCCTTCTTCTGTTTGCTGGTGGTGCCGCTTGTTTGTCCATTGGATAACGTTTGGAATCGTAAGATGCAACTTGATGCACACTTTGCAGTCGTTGTGTGTTGTATGGATCTTGATTTAGTGCTTTTTCCTTTCCAATATTTTCAACATCTGCATTTTTTGATTTCGAATCTCCGTTAATATGATATCCCAATGGAGGATTATTAGATCCCTTCACAGGTTCATTATTGTAATATCGGGGCACATCGAGATCCATATGTTCTGGTCCATAATGTTCTGGTTCCTCTAGTGTTGTGGAGTCCGGAACGGTTTCACTGATTGTACTGACAGATTCATGAGTTTCTTTTGGTGGTAATTTGTTTGACAAAGGAGGACAATGATCACAAATACCTAAATAATTGCGAATTTCAATTTTTTAAATTTAGTGAAGGTTGAAGACATTCAAAAACCTTTAATTCCAGGTGATCCAGGAGGTCCTGGTGGTCCTGGTAGTCCCGGTGAACCATTGATCCCTCGTTCACCTTGTTCTCCAATCATTCCTGCTGCGCCTTCCGTTCCTGGATTTCCATCTCTGAAAATCTCTTACATGCTTACAGGCACTATAGTTTTCGTCAAAAGACTTCCATAAATTATTAGTTACCTTCCAGGACTTCCAGTGCGGCCTCTCGGTCCAGTCGGTCCTGCAAACATTTAAGTTTGAACAAGGCACACAACGTGGTGATGAAAGTGACAGACCATTTTGTGGCTTTTTTTTTTATCAAAAATTTGGAGAAGCAATACCTGGAGGTCCAGGAGGTCCAGCTGGTGCACCATTTAGTATGCGTCCAGGATCACCTGGTGGCCCTTTTGGTCCATATGGTCCAGGAGCACCTCGAACTCCAGTGGGACCTGGTGGTCCTTTTCGACCTGGAGGACCATTTTCCCCTGGCGCTCCTGGTACTCTAAACTTTGAAACTGCAGATGCAAGACAGTTTTGAGTTTCATGCTACATTGGCTTCATGGAAAGCTACAAATATTTGAACAATTAAATAACTTTTTCTTCATTTATGTGGTATGTATTACTCAGTTGGCGTCTCTTTATCATTTGAAGCAGAATGTAAGAATGAAATATGTGAAAGCGCACCCTGGAGGCCCTCTTGGTCCTTTGAGTCCAGGTAGTCCTGGAGGCCCTGGTGGAGCTGTTGGACACTAAAGTGAATTCAGTTTATGATGCACTAAAATAGTGAAATAATGAAAGGAAAATTAAAGTAAAATAGTAATTTGATATCGAGAAATTACTTTTCTTACATTTAAGAGAATATGCACCCTAGTCTTTTTATAAGGCAATTTTTATCGTCAACTTTTTCAACAGCCCTTCAACATGTTATTTTTTATTTCTAGTCTGAGTTTTTGTTTTACAACCTTGTCATGGATCTTTATTTCAGTGGTACAATAAAGTGATTACAACAAGTTACATACTTTTTGACAAGTGTTTTCATTTGGTTTTGGTGGAGATACATATTTTCCAGGCTTACCGTCTCTTCCTGGCACACCAGGTGCTCCGTCGATTCCTAGAAACAAACATATTTGGTATAGCGAAAGCCTTTATTGATAAAAATTGAAAGACAACTGTAGAGCGGATTCAGAAACTTTTTTGGGAAGTGTCGTAAGAATCATAACTAAGATTAGTGACAGTTAGCTGAGATTTTCGATTTTTAAGTCGAAAAAGATATGGAAATCGTAGAATAGATCGAACTTGTTCAACTTTTCAATATCACAGATAAATGTCCAAGATTAATGAAAATTAGCGAAGTAAGGATATAATTCTTACCATCTTTACCAGGTTTACCTGATCTACCAGGAGGTCCAGGTTTACCCTGTTGGCAACTACAACCTACAATTAGCTGATTTTGTTTTTCGAACATTACGTACTATACAAAGCGGTAGTTTATGAAAAATAAACTACAATGCAAAAACTTTGATTCTTTTGCTTCACAATAACATAATCTGGGCATATTGTCAGCCTGATAAATGCTGATTAGTTTTTTCTCCAAGTCATTCCCCTTGATAACAAACTGCTGATTAATTCAGCATAAATGCTTTGTATTTGTTTACGACATGTACAAACTTATTTCTCTAAAAGTAATCAGTTTTGAATTCGATGAAAAAAGTTTCGGCGTTTATTAGAAAATTTAAGCAATGAGATAAACAAGCCAGAAAACTGAACATGTTGCAGAAGGTTGACTTGCTGAAGTAGAACTCGCTCGACGTGTTCTTGATTGAGTAATTAGTTGAAGTTGTAAGACATTCTTCCAAATATTGTTATTATTAATCTAAAGCTTGCAAATCGAAATTAACAAAAGATATCATTTAGCTGCTTATGTAATTAAAAGAATGACAATTTATTTTAATCAGTAGCTCCTTCCCAGTATGCTTTGAGAAGTTAAGTATTTTTCGTTTCTATATTTGCCTACTTGGTGATTTTAGAAATCAAATAGAAGTTCAACCACTTTTCGGGTAAAATTTTAACCGTGAGCAAGCACTCTTACTTGCTTTCACAACTTTCCAACAAGTTATTTACTTAACTGTCTTTTGAAAATTAAATAAGATTTCTTCATTCGCTTTGAAATGCTACTTACATTACACTTGTAAAGCTGTGAAAGCATTGCTGTATTCGAACGTTGGATGTATGAAAAAACTATTGGTAAGATGACAATAATAGCAAGAAGTGAAAAAGTCGTTAGAAGAGTTGACAAAACGACTACTAAACGTGTTGAATCCATCGAATATGTAATAACTTTAACAATAGCACTAATAAATGATAGTTGAAATAAGGGAAATAACAACAATGATAAATCAGAGTAAAATAATACACAATTTGTTGATAGTTTCAATGACGATTTTAATAATTGGTGATCCTAAGGATATTTTGGTCAGAGATTTTAGGTCGGTGACAATTAATGCAATAATGATGGCATAATTTCAAAATTATTTCAAATATTGAATCTACAATTTGATTCGTCCCAATTTCTTTGTTCTGCAGCCAAATTTCATGTTAACAATTCAAGGTTAGAAGACAAATTGAATATGGTTGTAAATAGTGGAAAAAAATATGTAAATTTTATGGTAATGATGTATTTCAAAAGTTAATGTCGGAGCGAGAAAATTCATCTATGTTCTAAACTAAACAATCATTTGTGCTTGTAGTCCATTCTCTCTAATATGTCGTTCTGCTTTTATGAAATGAACTAAATTTTTTTATTCAAGTTACTGAACGATTTACAAACATCACACGGAGAAGTAATTTTTCATTTTCTTTAAAAAGCAATATAAGTTAAGCGAAGTTGTTTAAGCATGCACCATGAAAGGCCTCTGAAAAGATCGCAAATAATGTAGTTTTATTTTCAAAAATAAATAAATATGCAAAGATTAGTAAATTAATTATGAACTTTATCAAACTGATAAAGGAAATAAATATAACTTCATGCATACTTTGGTTCAAAACGCAATGCATGTTAAACATAATAATCAAATGACTTGATTATTATGGTTAATATGCATTAATATGCATTGGTATTTTTTCTTGAACGCACTTAAAAGTTCTTGAATTTTGTTCATGTTTGCGCCGTTATTGAACCATTATATCAATAACGAGGATTAAATAGTAATACTGGAATCATACAATTTCTATCATAATACCATTAATTACGTTTTTCGGATATAACACATAACTGCAGTACCTATATAACGATAACAATATTTGTGCTTTCTCGATTGACATGAATGGATGCAAGCATGCCATTACTTAATTAAAATTATGAACAAAGGAAAACAAATTATTATTACTGCAGCTCATTGAATAAAAGTACAATAATAGAAGAATATCTCTGAATGAAACTAACATAGTAAATAATTCATTACATCACAGAGCAGCATAATGAAAACAATTTGCAGTAGTTTTGAAGCACTGGAAGATGAGAACAAATTTCTGAAACCTCATGATATTACTAAGTGATTTCATAGTAATAAAACCTGAAGTTCATTGTTACTCTGTAGTTTGAATGAGAAGATTTCTGGAACATAATTAAAGTTCATTTAATGAAATGAATTTTCAACAGTTTGCCTACAAAATAATTGATTTTTAGAATTTCCCCCGATTTGATAACTTCAGAAATGCTTCTCTCATCTTCTAAATGTAATAACATAATTAGCAAACGATCAATCGAATTTTTGATTTAAAAATTAGATTAGACTGACGAAAAGAATAAGTCATTAATAAGTAAAATTTATTCATGACAGTCTCTGATCATAAGCTCGACTTATATTTGATTTTGTGATCATAAACTTTAGCATGAAATACTAAGTTGCTGCTAATTATTAGCATGCACAAATAAGTGCGAAAATTAGTCAATTAATGATATTAAAGAATAGCCTAAAACAATTGAAGAAAATATGTTCAATGTGGAACAACCAGCTTTTTTTATGTTTAGTACCTCGAGAATGGCAGGACGAAGGGGCTTAAATGATGTAGTGAACTAATAAACATAGGTAAGTGCTGGACAGGTTCATCCAAAGACTGCATTACCCCACCAAAGATTTCACGAAGCCAAATGAGAAAGTCGTACGTAAGTTTTTGCGTAACATGGCTTTCGACTTGTGAGAAGCATGATGTAAGCACACCATCTGTTACGATTGAGCCTTCTACAGTCATGGGAGAATATATGCCTTTCAAATATTTCCTACCTACCTGAAAACCCAAATTTCGGTTTCGATTTCTATCCTAAAACGTTAATTTAATGAGATCAACTTTTTTTTATTGTGCATTACGTCACTGTCGCTTTGGTTTCAACATATATTTATCTATAAACGAGTAAATTTGATGCAATACCTTCACAATACGATCTACACGTAATTCCTGATTCGACGAAACGGAAAATACACAGTCACCAGCACGTGCCTTATATGCAAAAGTGGATTTTTGAAGCCATTGTTCAACGTCATCACTTTCTTCCATATTTTTTCGCATTTGCCGGCAATTACCCACTGGAAGAAGATGCAGCTCTGTTAAAATCAATTTTCGACCTGATTCTGTTTCAAGTACGACAAATTTGGCTCGTGTTTCGGGCTCTCGATGATAAAACATTTCCACCCGTTCATATTTTAGCTGATTTCTGCTTGCGGGCACAAGAACCTTAAAGCTTGCCATCAGAAGACTTGTGATATGAGTTCAATTTACTTGAGTGAAATCTCTCAACTCGCTCAAAATATCACAAATAATTTCGAGTAGGACAGATATGATGATATTGATTCATTTGTTGTTGATAATAAGTTATTTACACAATACATCCATCATGTACTACTAATGAATGAGTTGTATGAAAATATCATGCACAACATGAATTGTTTAAAAGTGGATTCAGACAAGAAAATGATCTAGTTATCAAAAAAGTTCTCAAAAAATCAACTCGTCAGTTAAACAAATTATGTTCAACAAATATCATTTCTAATTCAAAAGATTTAAATGCTTTCACACTACTACACAAACTTTGAATTTCCTTTCCTTTTCTTTTGTTCGTCATTATTTTCATTTAAAGTTGCTTTTCCATTTTTTGAAAGTGTAAATTTTATAATTACTCAAAAATTATTTATTCTCTGCAAGAAGTTAGAAGTACCATGGATTACGTCTGGTAAACTTTTTAAAAAAATAACTGATCTATATGTACTCCGATATTTGTTGAATTTAATTTGTTTAGCTGATGAGTTAATTTTTTTATAACTTTTATGAAAGAAAACTTTTTGATAACCAATATGAATGCATTGCTCTTTGACGCACTTTACATCAATTCATGTACTTAACAATGAAATCAAATTAGTCAACTTACAAAATCGCCCACTTTAAGATCTTTCATGCTTTTTTCACCATTTTCGGTATAAACTTTAGTTTCAGCACTGAAACAACTCATAGGTGCAATAGCAGGCTGAGCTTGAACTTGATGCACATTCTCCTTCCTAACTGGAATCACAGGAGGATTAGCAAGACGCGGTTGACCATCTGCTGTATTGTTGGCTGGCTGAACATTGCTTGCTACCACTGGCATTCTTACTTCTGCTTAACAAATTATTGAATACATTTGGGCAGTCAATTTTTGAAACTTGATATTTCCTCTGCTTAAATTCTCATTCATCAAATCAATCAATAAAGGGAAAATTAACTTCTGGATGGTCTCAAATTATCAATGTAACTATAAGACAGAGTTTGGGAAGAAAATTATTTAGCGTTCAGTTCCAATGCAATACTATCATAATAACGGCAGAATTAGTAATTATCAGCAATAAAATGTTCCAAAGTAAGATCGAAAAATACTATTACCCGATTTTTGTTCTGCCTTTAGAGAACTTGAGGCAGTTTTAGTTGCTGCTCCAGATTTGTGTTGTATTACTTTTGTCATGGCTGTCTTCAAAGAATATTGATAATAACTTAATGTTAAGAAACGAAACAAAGATGATATTTGCTAAATAATGATATTTTTGAGCAATTTTGATCAAAAACAAGTAAAAAACACAATAATTCTTATAATATTGCTTGCTATCTGTTATTTATTAACTTGATACTATTATTATTATCATTTACTTTGATATTGTTATCATTATTATTATTTTTATTATACACGCCTGTTTAACGCTTTCCGAAGCATTTTTCACTCCATTTGCTGTTGTAACCAAAATGGCTGAAGCTTTTATTTCGGATGGCTTTCCTGTAAGTGAATAGATTAATTAATTTGTGTTGTTAATAAATAGTATCCTTGAATTTAACTCTATGCTTTTTTTTTAATTAAATAAGTTTAAAAATTACAGAGATACATTTACCAGTTTAGTTTTTTGGGGGAAAAAACAGGAATTTAGATTATTACAGAAGTTTCGATTTTATAGAATCGTCTATGAAATTAGTAAATAGTTCAAATAAAAGCAATGAAAAAATGAAGCAATTTCTAAGAACTCAGTTTTTTATGAAAAAAAAAACGAATATGTTATCAGTTAAAATACAAAGTGTGCACTGAATTATCACAGCTAATGAAAGTATAGCTACAATTCAACATATTTTCATACCACACAACTCATAAAATATATCCAGTCAAAAAAAAGTTAATAAATTAAAATTCATATTGAACTTAGATACTTCGATGAGGAACGAAAAAATAAATAATAAAGCTCAAACAAAAAATTCATATACTATCATCAGGCATAGTAGGGGTTTCAGATTGAGGTCGAGCGGTATATTGGGATGCTGTTATGCTATCTGCAGCCGGACGTTTTCGCCCTGGAAGTTCTCATTCAAAGCCAACAGATTCGTATTCACTGCATTCAGTTCAAAAATTAATTTGTAATAAATAACTTGGAACTGAAAGTTTGAAAACTAAGAAACAAACTTAAATAAATTTATCTAAAAATTTTTATGAAAACAAAAGTATGTGATGTTAGAAATTGAAAATCGCTACATAAATGTTATATATATTCATGGCAATCATAACTGCTAGAAGTGTATTTACTTAAAAATGATACCTTTAGATGACTGATTTTTGTGCTCGACCTTTCCTACTGTTTTAGTTTCTTTTCCTTTTGATGACTATAAAAACTTGGTGACAACGCATACTCTATTTAAATTACATTTTATTTATTTATTTTTTGCAAAGCTTAAAATGAATATCATAATTTAATTAAAACATTTTGTTCAAAAAACATTGAACTTTTCTATTGTTACCATAAGGTAACAGGTTTAAGAGATGCGGATGAACTTTTCATGATTTTAAGGTATGCAACATCAGCGATGCAGGCAGCTGAATGATGAATCAGTCTCGGTAAAATTTTACACGTACGCAATTTTTATTATTCAATTAATTAATCGTTTGGAATGGTTATCAATGAGAAACAATCATTTGATTCATCCGTTGCTTTACTTAATTCATGATTGCAGCAAAACAATGTCGAAAAACTACCTTTCCAGCCTTGTCATCGATTTTAGTTTTGTTAACCTTAGGACTGTTTTTCTCGAAAGTTTTATTTGTGGGAATAACTTTTGTGGTGAAATTTTTGTGTTCCTTCACCTTTATCAAATCACTTCCAACTGTTGATGACAAAGTCCTCGAAGGGTCTAATTCGACTTTAATACTACTTCGTTCGCTTGTTTTCACCAACACTGCAAACCTTGACAGCGCTCAAAAGTATTACTGCGAATAAATAACTACTAGAAACAAAATGAGAAAAAATTAAAATGCAAATTAAACCTTGAAAATAGATTCATTATGCTGCATTTGAAATGAAGCTCATAAATTTTTCCATGGAAGGATGAAGCTAATTCATTTTGTACTGAATTCATTTTCATGCGAACCATATATTGAGCTCTTTTTGATAAGCAATAATAAAGCTTTATATGTGAATTCACTTACCGTTAGTTAGTGTTTCATGAGCTGTTTTTGAACCATTTTGTTTTCCCAATGAAACTTTATTCACAAATAAACTTTTGCTTTTCCCCTCATTTTCCTTCATTTTATTTTGCTTTGATACCACTGTTATTTTTGAGTTGATCAATTCCTTCACCTTGTCATTTTTCCATAGTTCTTTCGCTGACTGATTCTTCTTTTCGCTAGCAGTATAAGTAATTACTTTCAGTTGGTGCTGGCCAAGCTGAGACTTTTGTTCTTCATGCGCAACATTGCTTTTATCATTTTCTTCATCATCATAGCACTCGCTACTACCACCACACTCTTTAAAAGATATCTTTTTCTGACCTTCAATATGTTCTTTTTTCATTTGTGTAGATTCATTTGATTTTGTTTGACCTAGAAAAGATCCACAAAATTTGTAAGGTCATATGCATATATTTCAGTTAAATACCAATACGATCAAAAGAAATGTGAATTTTCTACTTTATTATTCAGAAAAGGAATACTCTAAAGGCTTTTTTTTGTATTAAAGATTCTGTAATGACTTTTATATTGATAGTTTTATAATGATAGTAAATATCATCCTTATGTTGATATTAATTAACATTATTGTTACTAATTAAGCAAAGAGTCACATGCCGAATATTATTTTATTGGACGGTATATGCTTGGATTCTCCTGTTAAATCGACGATTGCTGTTCCGTGATTGGGATAGATAGCAGTTTTGTTCTGATCATTCCGGCTTTCGGTCTCATTATACGAGTCAGATTCGATCCACTTGAACCTACTCCATCGCAACCATCTAAATTCACTTTTCATACTCTTTCTTAACTATGAATTTCAAGTAAATACTATAGATATCAGCAGCGCTACTTATTTCGTACCATGAAAGAGAATAATGAGTTGTATTATGACGAAAAATATTTTATTTTTAATCAGCGAAATATTAATGGCTTATCAGTTATGGTGGAATAATCAGTTAAAAGATACTTGACTTTATATCACAATTATTAAATTGCATCTATTAATCTATTAAGCACAGAAGTACCACTTCACTCTTCCACGTACTGCAGATATTGCAATGCTCACAAGATGTTTACTGGAGTTCATTTTTATTGCATTAAATTAGCAGAGTAATGACTTTCTTATTTAAGCAAAAAAATATCAAGTTACTGCTAATTAGAATTACTCTTTCATTCATTATTTCTGGTTTAAATAGATGCTACTGGAAATTTTTGAAATCGAAATTATATGTGTTTCTAGAGTGTAAAATATGTGTCGTATATTTGATCCTATTCTTTTGAGTGCTGAAAATTCAGTGTAAGAAGTGTAATTTTTCTAGTGATTGAGCTAATGGTTACAAAATAATACAACTTACTGCGAGTGAAACCATCTTTTCCACGCGGCAACTATCCAGTATGCATCTCCCGTTAAATTTTGATTTATTTGTGCCAATTTGTTAGCCTTAGTTTCATTTGTAAGTGATTTATTATGTTTGCTTTGATTTACTTGAGTTTTCACATACATCTTCTGTTGGGTTCCATACTTTCTTGCTTCTATTATTTGTTTTTCATTACTGATCTGACACTGAGGACGACAAATGGTCACACGAAAACCCGCTCTAAACATGGTTTTTAGACAGTTTAAACTCAAGTTCAGTAATTTTTCAGAGAGCTAATCTCAAATTACTTTACTTATAGAATTAAAACGAATAAACTTCATTATCATCGTCTACAATTAAAATTGAATAGAAAGTTAGAAAGAATTAAGTCATTATGATAATCTCTTCGATCATATTTTATTTATGCTATCGGTAAAGAAAAACAAATATAATTTGAAAGCTCACTCATTTCGTTCAATGCTCTTAATCATAAGTTGTGATGGCTTGTTCTGTCTGAGCATATAATATCTTAAGCGATAACCGGAATAATTATCAAATTGCTCAGAGATTTTGTTAATATTTTTCAGCAACATGTAGCCTTCTTTGTCGTTCTCTTCCAATGCCTTTGCTGATGTTCCATTTGTTCCGTCCGGTAAATCATAAAGAAAGCAATCATTTCCCTTATGGCTTTCTATCTGAACATCCTTATTCACTGTCAAAGTGCAACAGGTTTGTACGACTCTGAAGATATCATTATATGAACACTGATATTCAAGTGTTAACCTTACTTATTTTGATCAATCATTAATGATAACCGATAATAAAATGAACTTATCATATTTATATTTGATATTGTAATTTTTTTACGATGATTACTATTGCAAAACAATTCATTTTCGTCCATCAATAATTTAAGTTTATTTCCAGACTGATTACTATTCAGAAATTCAACTATGCTAGGATGAGATATATCGAATTAGGGCATATAAGAAAGTTTATTAGGTTGAACACATGACAAAAAGATATGTTGCTGGCTTCAAATTTCGGTTAGTAGCCATTTTTTAACTAAATTTTTAATAAGCATCTAAAATTATTATATCTCATTACAGAAATGTCTTGCTCAAGAAATCGTCCAAAAAAGCAAAGTATATCATGCATGAAAAGAAATACGACTGTAAAAAATTACCGCGAAATAGGTGAAAATTGGTCTACTTGAGAGACGAAATTAGTTTTTCCACCGCATTGTAACTTCATAGGGTCATAACGGCATTTCTGCAGATTTATTATCGATAAGTCTCTGACTCAAAGCCTTAGTTTCATTTATAAATGAAACTAAAGACTAAATGCTATTACTGAGACTCAATGCTCTTAATTAATGAAAATATTTCGTTTGTTCTTTCTTTGATAATTTAAAAAAAAATATGCAGTTAAATTTTTGACATCACACTCAGTTTTTGAGTAGAAAAAGAGAAGCACAGCATACTTTATATTATTGGAGGAAAAATGAAGCATTACCAATGACAAATTTTGATATGTTATCAAACAAAGAGAAAATTTGGAAGAGAAGATTGTAGACTTTGAATTGTGCAAGGATTGCAGCGATTTTTTAAAGCAAGTTTTCTAAATTTCAAATTGCAATACAAATTTGTTGGTGTTGTTAAAATTCTCTGTCTAGAAATATAATTGTGTATTTGCTTCTAAACTGATAAACTTATAATAGTTTAAGATGAAAGGAAACATACCAAATTACTAACACCACAGATAGTTGGTTTCTGACAATGCATTCGAATGGTGTCGTTGCCAAAACTTTGAACAACAACAATCTGATCACTACTGCAACGATATGAGATTAATAAGGATTGAATAATCAAGCGTGATAATAAAAGCAGAATTATCAGAGGCCTTGACAACACAGCCTGCTTTGTCATTATCACTCTAAACAATGATTTTCGACCTGCAAATACCATTTTTCATTATCAAGCTATGATTTGTATCATTTTGAAGATCTGCGCACGTTGTTACAATTGATAGCAAGATTACACAAATGAAAAAATTCTTTTCAATTTATTTCTTCTATAGTAGAAAGTGTAAGTGCATGGTGAAAATTCTGCATTTGCTACGATTTAATAATATATATATATATATATATATATAAGGCATTATAAGTTTGATTATTCAAACTTTATAGAAACAAATATTAGAAAAATTTATTAATTCAATTCATTGTCATAAAATTACTTGAAGTGAAGCATATAAATAAGATTGCTAATTACGCTATTTATGTCTATAAAAATTTTTGAAAGAACCTTATAATAACAAATATAATGGTAAAAACCACAAAAATAAATTCTCTCCTTCGACTGAATATGATTTTAATCAAAAAATGAAAGTGCACACGAATAATTATGCACAAAAATTTTTTCTTGTAACAAATATATTTTATGGTAAACCATAACTAAAGAATACCAAGTGAAAATTATTTACGAAGTCAATGGCTTAAATTTCTTTGTTAAACGCATAAGTCTTGCTGATGGAAAATGACCAATTCTTTACAATACAATTTTGTTGAGTCTACAAACTTTTACATATTTCAATTAGTCATTTAGTTTCAAACGCAAAAAACTTATAGCCAAACTTTTCTGCTTATGTCACCAAATATTTTTTCACTATCACATCCATTTTTCACGAGTAAAATCAAATTTGCTGTAAAATGCAATTAGAAAGAAAGTGTGTCATCGTCATGTATATTTGAAGATTTTTTTCTCTTTGAAGAAAATGATTTCAAAACTATGAAGTATGAATGAATAATTTATAACGTGATACAAACCTTCCTGTAAAATTTGACTCAATAAACGAACTCGTAAAAATCCATATTTTTAAAAAACGATTGGGGGAAAATTTGCTGTAGAATCATTTCATGATTATAATGAAAAAAAAATTAAAGTGCACATTGTATGAGATCACTGAAATTCGCATTTTTTGAAAGGAAGACCATGATAAAATAATTGTTTCCATATTAGTCATAAACAACAGAGTTTGGATTACGGGCATACACTTTGAGGACCTGAGCAGATGTTCAGTGAAAATTTTTCTGTATCTGCGCCGACTTTCACACTTTTTTGCAGTTTACACGAGTCATTCAGATTTTAAAACATTTACTAAGAAATCCAAAGAAATAAAAAATTTGTGATGTGATTGGTTGAAGACAAATTTATTAATTGTCCTGCAAATAGCAGAATATTTTGGATTTAAAAAGTAAAAAAAACTCCACTTTGGTGTGAAATTAAACATTGCATACGCCACAAATAAACAAATACATTTATTTACTCATTCATTCGTTCATCAAATATTGAATGCTGTGCATTTGTGCCTGAAAATCAGATGTTCGCAGTGATTTCACAAATGAAATTCTCACTTACCTGAACAAATAGAAAATAAACTTGATAATTAATAAGTGTAATAAGACCAGGAAATTCAGTGAAAGAGTGTAAAGCGTAACATACGAAGAAAAACGATAATCCCCTCAAGACTATCTTGTTTGAATAATTTCAACCATAAATTCATTCAAGGGGATAAAAGAGGTGAAGGTCTGAATATCCATCATCATGTGCTACATGTGTTACTCCAACAATTACCGTTTAAACTTACTTCACCTAAAATAGCTTCTGGAACAGGTCATCAGGACATTTCTTCCCAATCTATATCATCCAATTTATACGACTGTTGTGTGCAGCACTTTCATTTATAGCCAATCTTTAGCCATTTATGATCTCAAATTTTGAACGGGTGAGTAAAGAGAAAACATATTAATAAGAATCGCTGAAAAAAAATGTGTTTTTATAATTCACCATCCTTTAAAAATTATTGCAATTAATTTTTGTGAAAATTTTTTTAGTACATTGAATAAAAAAAGAAAAATAAACAGTCAGATCAGATATCAAACTTAGCAATCAAATTTTGCTATATAAGAAATCACTATCCAAAGTGCTCAAAAATTTAGAATAATGAACTCCTTACTGTAGCCATCACAAGAAAGCTCTTTAGTTGCTGAGCAGAAGAAAAATGGTCAATCATAGAATGGATGGATGTATTAGTTCATAGTTCAGGAATTAATTTAACTAAAAGATTTCCTCGGTAACAGTGGTAAGATTTTTATTATCAACAATATAAACAGAAAGATATAAGCTATTGTAAAGCATTTGAAATTAATAATTAATTTTTATTCAATATTATTGCTTCCATCAGCAGTACTGAAAAACTTTGAAAGCCCGCCGGTTCAACTGAGAGCTCTCTCATAAGACAGATAGTCAATGTATGTTTTAAATTTCACGTTAAAAAAGTAGAAGAAATTTCAATCATACAGCGGAAATTGATTACAGGTTAATTGTTTATTAGACATTTATTATATTTCATGCCTGTGTAACAGAATCTTTTTTCGTGTTATCTTTAATAAAAATATGAAAATTATATTTATCAAAGAAGGAGTCTCTATTTTCTTTATAAAAATAATCTTGTCTAAAATAATGGTTTCGAAAAAGATATTACAAAAGATACAAGTCTAATTTGTATGAAAATGGAAATCTAATTTAATTGAATTTTAACTTCAGACCCAATTGAACCAAGATAATTTCAAATACTTTACAATTCTGGACCACAACTGTCATCAAGTATCTCTGATTTCCGGAAATAATTTACCGAAGCAAATTTGAAAATAGCTTATTTTGATAATCACTCCTTCACACAAGAATTAATTTCATAAAATTTACAAATGTAACATATAACAGAATGAATATCAAGTTTTTAATGCTTGGATGATTTGTGCAATAAGTCACTGCATGTTTATCACTAGTAATGAAGAAAAGTGCTGAGATGTTAAATTTCTATTCCATAAAAATTCTGAGGAAGCTTAGTTCAGAACAAATTAGATCCGCTACTTATAGTGTAAATGTTCGTGCAGTCTTGTAGTACTGAAAAAAAAAATGTTATTCAATCCACTGATATCAGTTAATTAAACTGAAATTTATCTATATCATATTAACTTCAATTATAATATAAGTTAAAAAAATGAATAAATTCTTTTTTCGATATAAATAAACCATTTGAATATTGAATATAATGAAAGAACTCAGGCCAGAAATTTTAAAAAGTTATAATATTAATAATGAAAAGTTGGTTTAAAAAATAAATAATGCTTACTTCACCTATTATTATCATTTTTGCTGACTTATTACATATAACTCTGAAACCAAATGAAACTATAAAAACAAAAACTTTGCTTTCAAATAAATTAGATATTATGCAAGTAAAATGTTATTTTTGGCATTACAATGGGATCATTTTTCGTCGGCGTTATATCAACGCATATATCCATAAAAATACTGCAGTAGAAAATTTGAAACAGGAAATAAGTTAAATATGTGTGAAGACATCTTGTCAAAATTTATAGAAACAGAACTAGATTTTATTGTATGAAACACAGAGACACACCCATATTTATATGATCAAGAAAATTATTTCTGAACAGATGAAAAATTCAAAATTTCAGTGGAAGACATAATTTTTAAAAATAAGGATTCCAAAAGCAGATATCACATTCTAATAAGATAAAGAGAAGCACTCAACAGATTCATAGGCTTAAAAGACTGAAAATGTTCTACTAACAATAAACTGCTTAAGTCGCTCGTGTCCATTGTAGTATATTTAGTATATAGGCATTTCTTAATACCAGTATGCAGTAAACCTCCAATCTTAAATAATTTACTTGCAGTTTCCTATTCACACTAAATTAAATTGTTGAACAATAGTTCAAACTCTCATTAAATAGTAAAAGTAGTGATCAGTAATTTTACTACTGATAATAATTATTGCAAACATGAGTCTGTACTAAACTCATTTTCCACTCATGCTTTTATTAAAGAAATTGATAAATGGATTTGTACTCATCATAATTAAGCACTACAGTTCATTTCCTCAATACTAATAAGTTCATGCATGGAATTCCTCAGCTGATGAATTCAATGCATGAAATTTATATTCTCCTCATATTACTCTTTGGAGCATATCTTACATGACCAACTGCGAAGCAAGCTATTCAGCACTACAGATGTCAACAGGGCGTACAAAATTTTTCCCTTCTAATTGGCAGCAGTTTGAAATAATTCATATGGTCCAAATTTCGAAGTGAGGGGTTTCTTCGGTAACAATTAAGAATTTTGAAACGAATGAAAATCAATGAAATGATGTTGCAAAAAATGTTGAATATGTCATGTGAATAGAAACAAAACCTGCAAAAATTGAATCTTAGGAAGCAGTGAAACACCGAATACATCTATATAAATCCTTAAATAAAAACATAACGCACAAAGTACTAAAGTGAATTCCGAAAATAATTCCCAAAAAAAGTTAACAAATTCAAAGAACAACAATGTCCTAAATTTTTAAAAGGGATATAATTTATGGGGTAACAGTGCTGAGAGCGAAAAATTGGCAGAAAATTGAAATCATTGCATTATGACTGACTCATTCAAATTCATCTGACTTGTTCTTTTAACTGATTTTTGCTTGATTCCTAATTATGTTCAAATACTGGAAAAGACTGATCTATGACGCTTTCGATCAACATTCCCCTCATATGGTCCCTAGTGAAGAAAAAAGTAATTGTATTTCAGAAGTCAATGACCGCAAAGGACATTTCTGAATAAAATGACCTCATTACAAATTATTGTTGATTTTTTGCAGTGCAAAAACATGACCAGTAATTAGAAAATCACAGTTTGAAAAATGTATATTCAAGAAGTTATTATAGATCATATTATATTAATATATCAAATGCTCTAGAACGCCTTATATTTTCAATTTCATAAGATACTTAAAACTAAAAAGTGTTACTGAAATTGAAAAAACTTGGGTAGAGAAACCAGAATGTGGC